CCCTCTTCAGGCCAAACACCCCCCCCCCCCCCCCCACACACACACACACACACAGATACAGTGGCGTGCGCGCGACCTTGAGTTTAGTTGTGATTGCAGAAATGCTACTGGCGCGATCTAGTGGCCGTTTGTATTCCGGCCACGCAACCAATTGGCTCCAAGGCAATTGAACCCAGGCTCCGAGCAGGCTCGCAGGAGCTCCCTTAGGGCCGGCCGGGCCGGGCGGGGGCGGAGAGAAAGGACATTCCAATCGTTTCAGTCCAACGGACGTCAAGGAGAGTCGGAGGGAGAGCGGGTCTCCTATCCCTCCTTGTGACATTCCTCGGTGCACGCGGAGCGTCGGTCGCCGCGCGCGAAGACAAACTGGCGAGTAAATAACTGATAAGCTTCACTTATACCTATGAAAACGAAAAGAAGGAGATGCAACGTCATGGGGTCGGTGACAATTTTCGGTCGACTCTATGGGTTACTTCAGGCACTGTGATAAATAGTCGTTGGTTTTACGGAAAATTTTTCAAAGAAGCGTATCGTAAAATTACAATTCAAAATTGTAAATTACAAGGACTATGTATATGGACTTAAAATTCATCGACGAACAAGATCGGGGTGCCATAAATTTACGACATATTTTGTAAAAATTGATTTAAAAAAATATCTTGTTAATGTACCAGGTTAACTTCGCAGTGGGAGGCAGCAGGCAAATGACGATTATTTGTTTTGAAAGTAGGAAACATTAAATTTGCACCTAAAGCCCAAGGAGTAGAAATGTAAAGCAACTAGTCGTGCACCTAAGGGACACTTCTTACGGAACAAACCATAACCATGCCTAAGTACTCCGTCGTGTGCATTATTCTCCCTACCCCTTTTATAGACCCCCGATGAAGCACTCCAGTGCCACCGGCAACCGTTCAACTTATTTGAAAGGAACTTTTTTTAAAAAATAATAAAGTGAGTGACAATAAAATCATTTTTAACTCACTCACATTACAGCAAGTGATGCACCAAACCCGCCACTCCCTAAAAGTGACGATAAAGCGCCGTTTCACAACGTTAAGCCGTCCCTTATCAGCGGCGCCATCCAGGCCGCAGAGCAGCGGCTGCGGCGCGCCACGGGCATATAATTCGACACATGCTATTCTCGCCGTGTCTCATCTCAAACTTTTCCGTTCAAAACTTTGCTTTTTTTCCTATCCCTCCAGCAACAGCAGCAGCAGCAGCAGGGGGATGTTCGAACGCCTCGAACCTGCTGCGCCCAGCACGTGACGTGTGTTCCACAAAAAGTCACGCACTTGTTTGCGATCAAGAAAAATAGGGAGCAGCGCGGCGGAAAGGCGGGACTTCCGACGCGAAGATGAAAACGCGTGCCTTATGTATACCGACAGCGGCCCGGTTGATTGATCGCTGAAAACTTGGGATTTTCCATCTTCCGCAGCGATTTCCTGGCTGCCGCGCTCCGCGTTTCCGGTTGCCTCCCGCGGCGCGCTACTGCGGCGCGGCTACACGCGGGAGGCGGGCGCGCGGCCCCAGACACACGCCGCCGACAAACAGGTTGGATGCCGAGTAAACAGCGCCATCGATCTTACGGAGAGTCATTTGTCAAAAAATGAAAAGGGCGTCACAGGGCCTGCCACCAGCACGCCACGGTCAGCGCGCCACAATCACACACCGCCCAGAGGGAATCCCTTTTTCTGTTTGTTTTCGCTTTTGACTGCCCATCAAGATCTTCCACGCAATCTGAAGATTTAAGGGACTAGGTAGATGGCCACCACGTCGTCTCCCGTAACAGGCTTCGCTCGTTGTAAGTGAAGGTCGAAATTTTCGAACAAAACCTGTCCGAGTAGTTTAGAAACACAATTTTCCAATGCACTGTTGGAGACAAAATTCCAGGTTGCTTTTTTTTTTTGGGGGGGGGGGGATTTTTAAACAAATTGGTTAACAGAAAGGTAAAATTTTACACCAGAATAAGGTTTGGTAACAGATTTTAAAAATGTCAATTTTTTATGTAAATTGTTAGTCAAAAGTTCATGATAATTTTCTGGAAACTTTGGAACTTTCCTAATAGGCAGAAATTTAAAGTTTCCAAACTGTTTATAGGGTGCCCATTTTCTACAGTGCAGACAAACCAACAGACGCGCAGATAGACAGGCGCGAAACGTGCAACTAGTCCTAAACTGATTACTGGAGTAATAGGCGTCGATATTGCTCAGGCAATGACAGATAAAATCAGACAACTGTTTGTTTTTCTGTTTACTAGATCAAGACTTAAGTTATCGGTTGCTTTTTGTTTTTGTTTTCTTTCTTTACGAAAAAAGTTTTGTCCAGTTGATTTTTTTTTCCTTTTTCAGTGTCCTGAAGAGCGAAATTATCACCACAGACTGACCGTCATGCAGTCCGACCATCATCCGTCCGCGACAGCCCTCTGACACACGCTGCGACGTTGCGGCGGCGGGAGACTTTTAATAAAGGCTGCTCAGGGCGGCCCGCCGCTCGCGGTGAAACAAAAGAAAAGCCGCAATCAGGCATACGAAGGGCATAAATCACACAACACTGTCACCTTCCGCACCGCCCGTCCCGCAGAGCGCGGGCCGGGGAGGCCCCCCGCCCGCCTTCCACTGCCGTAATTCTGTATTCTTTGCGACTAGTTCGTAAGAAATATGCGGGGCCGATCGGGAGGGCATGCAAAAATCTCCGCCGCCGCCGCCAGTTCGATTTGACAAAGCATATGAGGTCCCCGACCACGGGCCGAGATTTATCGTGGAAACGTGTTTGACGTCAGGGACAAGCCCGGGCTGGCAGCGGCGGCGGGTCGCGGGTTCCCTGTGCTCGGGGGGACCCACCCGGACCCCGGCCGGCCAGCAAGCGGGGCCGCTTGCACCGGGGAGGGAAGAAAAAAAAGGGGGGGAGGGGGGGAGAAAAGGCCCATTACTTTCTCCACCAACCGACACCGACGGGGCGACACGTCCTCGTCAACTTCTCAAACACCCGGACGCAAGGCGCGGCGGCCACCCATTGCAGTGAGGTCGGTTGACGACTGGAAACGCCAACGACATTTAGTAATTAGGTAAGATAAAAAAACAAAAAAAGTATAAAAGACTTGTGTTTTTTTACGAAAGTATCATAACGGTATGGAAACGTTAAGTGGTTAACACAAGAAGCGACCCGGTGGCGGCTAAGTCACACCCAGTGAAGTGCAAACACCACCTTGCTCACGACGTCACTGATAACGTATGTGTGCCGCAGAGATTACAGGGTGCGGGGCTCACACGGGCCGTGTGGGGGGACGGGCCGCGACCTCTCACCGCGGGTGTCGCGATCGGTTCATTGACTGGCCGCTCACACAACACTCTCAAATCCCCCTAATCAAAAAGAAGAAATAAAAAGACATATCGAGCCGGCCGGTCGAACCACACCGACGGGCCAACCACTTGACTGCGGACGCCCCCTTTCAACAACGTCCGCTTTATCGGCCGCGTCCCCTCTCTGTCCCGCCCGTCTTGGATGCGAAATAGGACGGTTTGATTATACGGCTCTGGTCCGGCTCTCTCCGGCTGTATCGACATTATCAGCGGCCACTTGCCCACGCGTCCAGCGAGCGAAACTCTGTGGTGGGCGTGTTATCGGCTCTACCTACAAGAGCGCTAGTCGTCGTTGTCTTCTTCTTCGTCATCCACGTCTTCATTTCTGTTTTTCTTTCTTCTTCTCCTTCCTCTTTCTTTTGGGATGGTGGGATTCTTCTTCTTCTTCTTATTCTTCTATTTCTTCTTCTTCTTCTTTCTTTTGGGTTGGTAAATGCCACTGGTGACGATTGTATATTTGCATCTTTAAGTCTCACTGTACAAATCCAGAAGCGCGGATGTTGAACGAAAAACAACATAAACAATAATAAAACGACGCGTGGCGCGCACCTGTTTCAACGAATCGGTTCACGTTACGCCATTCCTCTTCTCTTTCCGCCGCCCTTTCCCTTAAAAGCGCTGATAACGCGAGGACTTAGGCAGGGGGCACAAAAAGTATAAGAAAGGTGCCGGGACTTTCGCGCGCGCGATCACCCGGCCGGATCAGTGTCGTCCCTGAGACACATAAATAAATTGCCGACTCTTGGTGGCGGTGGGCGGGAGGGAGGGAGGGAGGGAGGGGAGGTTCTGCTAAATGTGAGTTGGCTCAGCCCTGCCACACAAACACAAGTGTCATATCCGAAGGCTGCCGCGCGCGGCTGCCATCGCCTTGCAGCGGGGAGAGAGGGGGAGAGAGAGAGAGAGAGAGAGAGAGAGAGAGAGAGAGAGAGAGAGAGAGAGAGAGAGAGAGAGAGGCGGGGACGCTGCTCGTACTTGCACTTGCCGAGCGCGGTGCGCGGCGGGCGGCGCGGCGGCGGTGGGGATTACCACACCTTCACAGCGGGCCGCGGCTGCCAGCGGAGAGGATTCAGAAGCAGTGCGTGAGCTGTCAGGGAAAGGCGGGACAGAGACGGGGAGAGAAAAGGAGAGCGATTACGAGTGATCCATCTGCGGGCAGGAGAGACAAAAAAAAGGACTTATTGAGAGCTGGTGATCCTCCCCGCCGCTCCTCCTGCTCCGACGTCGCCGCGATAGTTTCTTTTATCTTCAAGAATGTTGTTGCGATAAAAGGTGAAAAGGGTGAATTAGTTTCGTGGATAGCGAAAAACCAAAACGTGCTCCTCGAGAGAGATTGTGCCTCAAGAGGACGTCATTTCTTCCTCATGATTCCCGGTGACGATAAACAAAACCAGCCATGGATAAGTTTCAACATAAACTGCTCAAAAACCCCCGGGTCGGGGCAAACATCATATCACTTAGCATATTCGCGTAAGTAGTGTGAATTTGGGCGGACAAGGTGTCGCAGAAGACAAGGTATTTAGTGAACCGTGTGGTTGTGTCCTCGCCTGCTCACAGGTGGGTGTGGCCCACCTTCTGGAAGGGCTCGCGCAAACAGCTCGACGTCGAGGACATGTACGAGCCCCTGAGGGAGGACAAATCGGAGAGGCTGGGAAATAAATTAGAGGAGTAAGTACATCTATATTTTCCGCGTCACCGCGAGGGAAACTTTCCGCGCGTTTTGTTGCAAGTCCGCCTCCCCCTACGCGCGTTGTGTCTGTGTCGCTGTACCACCACCAGCCGGATTAAGCCGTCTTCCGGCCCTCCCTCCTCGTTTCCTTCCGCATTTCTCTTCCCTTTCTCCACCCCTTGTCCTACACGGGAAAAGCGAATGCTTGGGAACTTGCCCGTAAAACTGCTTGAACACGAGAGCAGTTTGTCCTTTTTTAATTGCCAAACTGGAAGACTTTGTTAAGTTGGTTGCCAAGCCCAGGGCATGCAAAATCGCACAGTTATTTTGTGTACTAATTACAAAGCAGTCGCTTTAGATATCTTTTTGCGGTTAAACGGTTAAACGGTAACATGTCCGTAACTAATTTAATTTCGGTTATTTGAAAATTCTGTCAGGTTAAAATTTCAGAACGGAAGAAAATATGAAGAAAATCTTTCGACTTGAGTATTGATTTCAAATGGATATTTATGAATTGAATTAAGCAAGTGCAAAAATGCTTGCAGGTGCGGTGCGAGATAACAGGCTAGAGAACAGCCGGAAATGACTCGCTAGGGGGAAGCGAGTAGCGGGGCGGCTCAGCGAAGGAGATGTAGAGGGGGGTGAAGGAAAGAGGCACGGCGACAGCGCACTGACACCCCCACGTCCGTCACGTTCATGGGGCGGTGTTTGTCAGGGGATGAGGGTGGCGTGGCGCGGCGCGCCAAGTCGTACGCGACAAACTGTCGCATTATCTTTCGAAATGAGGGATCTCGGGGTGCGGGTGTGGGAGATGGGCGGGGGGTAGGTGGGGAAGGGGCCGGGGGGATGGGCGCACACGTTGCAAGACAAGCGTGACGCGCAAAGGACGTAATGGGCTTTGGAACGGAAAGGCAACGTGCGTGCACTCGAAAGTAGTGGCGTCGTCACAATCACGTCCGCCCGGTTGCAGCTCCCGGCGCAACTTTAATGAGATTCCAGCCGGCATCCGAGGAGGAGGCCCTGCTGCCGCTGCTCCTTGCTGCGCCTCGGGGAGCAGGGACAAGGGAAAAAATTATCGCATCTCCAGGGGTGAGATGACGGCTGCATGAGGAGAGGGGAAAGCCAGGGTGTCATAGTCTGTGGCCTTGGGGGAAAAAGTAGGGGGAGATAGAGAGAATAATGGCATCCACAGGTGTCGAGCGGGTGCGGCAGGACTTGACAAGGCTCTCGTCGGGCACTTGAGCCATCAGAAATCGAAGGGCACAATGGCAACTAGATGCAGCAGTAACGAAGGCGTGACGCAGAATCTGGCATCACCAGACATTCTGTACAGCAGCGCATTGCTGACCGACCAACGTGACCAACCGTGTTACTAATACAAGTTGCATTCCCCTAGAGTATGGCGGTCGACTTGCAGAAGCGCAAAGAAGAAAGGGGCGAGGGCGAGCCTCCTGAGAGCGCTGGTTTCCATGTTTTGGAAGAAGTTTCTGGCCGTCGGCCTCATCGACGCCGTCAACCAAATCGGTCTGAGGTGAGCAAACTTTGGTGACTTTCTAATTAATGCAACCGTCAGGGTATTCGTTCTTCCCTTTGACAAGACGTTGCCGTACAGGTTGGTCCAGCCGCTCCTGCTGGGCCAGCTGCTGGCCTACTTCTCGCCCGGCTCCACCATCCCGGTGGAGCACGCCTACTACTACGCGGGCGGCATCGTGCTCTGCATCCTGCTCAGCGTCATCCTCGCCAACCAGTCGCTGTACTGGTGCGTGCACCTCGGCATGCAGATGCGCGTGGCCTGCTGCTCACTGGTCTTCAGGAAGGTGGGCGACGCGACGCAACATATAATATCTCCGGACACGGACATCCCTTAACACGTTGAGGCCCAGGAGGGGTATCATTCATGGCTTATTGTGTCCTTACGTGTGGTCACGTGGGACTCAACGAGTTAAAAGAGGAGCTCTTTATGCCAGTGTTCTTTAAATGTACCAGAGATGAGTTTGTTAAGTGTACTGCGCTTACATTAAGAGCACTCCACTTCAAACAAGCGTATAATGCCCTCAAGAAAATCGAGTACACAAAGAGAGTAAAAATATCAAGAAGATATTTTTTTGAGAGTGTACGAATAAGCGTTGAGTAAAGCTATTGAGCTCGTTCGTGCTCCACCACGTATAGTTACTTTTAAACTAAGGTCACTCCTGAACAATTTTCGCAACGTATTTTTAATATTTTCTTAAACTGCGGAAGTTACAAAATACAGTCATATCACACACAGGTGAAATCAAGTGTGAGACTGGGGCATTGTGATGTGGGGTATTATACCTGCATCACACAGCGGCCGACAAGAAGTTTGGTCACCATAACAGTGTGCGACCCGAATAGCCCAACAACAAATAGCCGTGGACGAATTTCTCCTTCACCGCGACGACTCCGTCCGCAGCACAAATCACCCCCTCAGCGCAGCGCGCGCCAATTTTCGTCGTCCTCCGAATGCAGGGTAGCCCGGGGGGGCGCGTCACGTTTTCCAGCGGGGGGCGCAAATTGAGGGCACGAGTACACTCTTGGGGGCGCAAGGCGGGGCGTGGCGGGGCGTGGCGGGGCGTGGCGGGGCGAGGTGGGGCGGGGCGGGCAGGCGTCCAGGCAGGACGGTGCCCAAAGTGCATCATTAGGGCCAAGCGCCTTGCTGTCAATCAGGCGGACGATTTTCAGATTTAGTTGGGCGTGGCCTTGCGCCGCCGCGCCCTGGCCGCCCCGCCACCTCCTCACCGCCGCCCACCGTCACACCGTCACTGCCGACGCATTAGCGCAATTGTGCATCGTCACACGCCACGGCCAGATCGCTTGTTTATTTATCGGTTCCCTATTAATGACTTAATATCGATAAGGCGCCCGGTGTGATAATAGCACCTGCTGGTCGCCCCCGCGCGAGCGCCCGCGCACCGTTCTGATTTATGGCCTCCGGGGCGTGGCGGGGCGTGGCGGGATGTGGCGGGGTGTGGCGGGGTGTGGCGGGGTGTGGCAGGGGCCGCCCGCGACTGTTCGTAGCGCGAAGCGAAGTGTCTGCAACTGCGGCTTGCCGGGTGTACACTCGAAGTGGACTTCCTGGTTTCCCTTCAG